TGTACGTAGCACGATATAATTAGAAATAAATTTGTACCCGAAAGTCCCGGGCCTTAACCCCTCACCCCAAAAAAATTCTACTAGCATTTTTGTCGCCTTCAAAAAGAATTACCCATTTATTCTCTGTGTTTTCTTTCGTATCGCGATAGACGGTAACATAATCCGAAAATTTACTTAAATAATATAATTATTGTAGGATAGATGTGCCGTGCGTGTACTGCACAAACGATGCATTAGTTGCTGCACTAGACGCTGACCTCTCATGTCACTTGGTTTTATTGATAATGTGTGAGATTGTGTGCGCGATTAAAAAGATTTTTTTTTTTAAAAAAAAAAAGATTTTTCGGTGCCAGAGGATATCTTTGAGCTTTTTGCTGAGTCCGCGATTTGCAATACGTACCTCTACCAACTTCGTGTCACCTAAATTTAAGATTTTTTTTGCTATAACATTAACAGAAGTGTATTTTTTATTTGTTTACTTACCGGGAAAATTCAGGTTTAGCCGCTGACTCGGCACTTCGGGCGAATTGATGATGCGCATGAAAATAAATAAATTCATTATGAGATTTAATGAAATTGAATTTTGCACGTGACGAGGTTGTACCAGGCATGATATAAAATTTTGTAATCCAAACAATTTGAATCACCAATAATTTTTTTAAAAAGCCCAATTGTTTGGTTGCAGATTATTATTCTATTCAAATTCACTTGCGGAAAACCTTATCGATAAGTTTATTGGGTTTATTATAATGTCAGCCGAACGAGAGAAACGAGCGAGACTAAGGTATGTTGAGTACAATAGATAAATGTCAACAAAAGTCGGAGAATTGCGTTTTAGAATGTAATTCTTGCTGCACAAATGGTGGTTTAATTGGTTTGCATTATGATGCAATTTGTGTTCTCATGCGTCATCTTTAAAATTCATCTTTCTTCAAGTCACGCGTGTGATCGCTGTCGGAAGAGGCACGTCAAATGTGATGGGGATTATCCGGTGTGTGGAAATTGCAAATCTGTCAGCGGAGAGTGTTGTTATAGTCACCCCGGTAGTAAGCGTGGTTATGTCGAAACCATTGACGATAGGCTGAATAAGGTATTTTCCGGCGGATGGAGCAAGAACGCAGCCCTTTGTACCTTTTTGCCTCGTAGGGTCAATTTTCGTGACAACGTTCCTCTTACCAAAATAGATCGAGCAAGTGTTGACGAAATATTTTGAAGGAGCCGATGCGCCGCAATCGAAAAACCTCAATAACAAAACCGAACGTGTTGTCAATGGACCTGAGATGGGAGTTTATGATGCAGTGAATATGTCCAAGAATTTAGAAAAGATAGATGTTGTCGCGTTGTCAGAATCGATGAACTCGTTGACAGTGAAAAACAACACTAGATATTTCACCATCAATGATGATGCTGATAAGAATGCCACGCCTGAAAACACTGGAGATGCCATGACGGAAATTAAGGAGATGGCGGAATTCCTAACATCGGAACCGCCTCTTCCAGAAGTATACAAAGGCTCCCGGGAACTTCCCGAGGAAGATCTGATCAATCATTTGGTAGACAAATACCGCCGTCATGGTTTCGCATCAAAGGCTCCATTGATACACATACCCACGTTCCTTAAACAACTTAGAGACAAACACAACCCGCCTTCCATCTTTTTACTGAATAGTCTGATGGCCGTATCCAGCTTCTACACGGACGACGAGAGGGTGCTTAAGTCGGGCAATCCGGAGACTGCCGGCGAAATATTCTTTGAACGTGCCATCGGTACCTACATATCTACTGTCTGTCCATTAATAATTTTCTTCTTTTCGCGTGCGTCAATGTGTGTATTAAAGTCACCTCGATAAAATGATCTTAGGATTGCTTGATGATTTCATGGATAGAGCGCGAATGTCGAGTGTGCAGGTAAACAGGAAGAGTTTTTGAGGAAAACGAATGATCCACAAGAACTTTGAAGACTCATTAATGATAAAATTTTTTTTCTAATTCAGGGCCTCCTCTTATTGACTCAATTCTGCGTTAGATCGGTAAGTGCATTTTGCACGCTTTCCCGGATGAATTTTGACCCCGCTAAAATCTTACCTTCGTCTCGTGTACGCATGTTTACAAAAGAATGAACATTCTTGTCGAATCTGGATACTTCTCGGAATGGCGGTAAGAATGTCAATGGATCTAGCATTAAATCGTGACTGTTCCAAGTGGAATATCAGTGAATTAGAGAAGGCGATGAGAGTGAGGGTTTTCTGGTCTGTCATGAACGCTGAGATTATCTCATGCGCCTCATTTGGGTAGGTTCCGCGTTCAGCCGAATTGTAAAAACCCGTTTTACCCTTGTCGAATCATCTATCCATTTAAAAAAAAATTTTTTTTTTTGAATATCAGGAAACCTTTGCCCGTCTATGATTACAACACCCCATATCCATATCCAATTGAAGAGGATGAAAATCCACAGGAAATCGTTAATTATATGCACTATTCGAAGTTGATACATATTTACGGAAACACTCTACACTCAAAGCCTTACTTCTCACATCCTGCATCGTTTCGTAACACTCTGCCAGCTGTTGAGGCTGCATTGCGTAAATGGTCGTTGGACTTACCTCAAAACTTGCAATTTAATCTCTCTGCCGCCGGTGATCCGGATCCTTCTACTCCATTTTACACTGCCTTTATAAACCAAATCTACTTTGCGATAATTATCTCACTTCACAGACCTTATATAAATTCCGATCAATACCCGAACATTGATTCTCGTAAAAAATGCAGAGAGGCGGCTATTAACATTACCAAGCTTTCAGCTTACATGAATATTAAAGACCGTGCAACCCTGACTATCTATATTACCACCATGTATTGTCTTTCACAGGCTGCGACCATACATTTGATGGATATGAACGATCCCGATTTTTACACCCAGGGTCGTACGTATATGCAAAGATGTCTCGCCTCTTTCGAAAAATTTGCGAGGAGTTGTAGGGTAGGTGACACTAATTGTTGTGGTGTCGACGACTGCCTGAACATGTTGCAGACTCTGCTCAAAGTGCAACTCGAGAAAGCCGAAGAGGATGGTACAACCGAAAAACCCCTGGGAAGTATAAATAGGATTAACGAGCTTCCAAAAAAGGTTTCAGAGAATGGCAGTGTCGATCAAGTGTCAGCGCTTCAACCATCCATACACCATCAAGAACCAGTAGACGAGACCACGATAACTCGGCCAACTATAAAATTGAAAAAGTCGCCAACTTTTAATAGCCAAATACCCACACCATCACCAACAAATAATATGATTTCCCCTTCGCCTCGGCAACTACATCCAACCCCGGTGGGACAGTCGTCATACCTAACCACACTATCTCAAGATTTCTCTTCTCAATCGTACAAACCCAACCCCACTCCCGCACCTTCGCCGTTCCCTCAACACCATCCGCAACTTCAACAACATCGCGTCCAACCACATTCCCAAATTCAACACGCTTATGTGAACATGACGGTTCCGGTCGTAACATTAAATTCATTCCGGGCGCTGGCAGAACCTCCCATCGTTCCTTCTTCAAATTATTATTTCGCGCGACAGGATCCCACACAATTGTATATGGAGGATTGGAATATGGTTGATCTCGCACAGCATCAAATCGATGATACAGACGTGGACAATTCATCGTTTCGCAAGCCTCCCTTATCTCATTCGCTAGTGAATTCAAATGGATCCAACTTTGCCTCCCCGTTTAATCCGGTTCAAAATTCAAGTTATGTTTCTTATCCGATTGATGAATATACGCATTCAAACGCTAGTACCGATCATATGGAAGACGGCAGAATAAATTACAACTAGTGATTAACGAAGCCATGACTTTATTTATTTTAAGTTTGTTCAGTCTTATGTTATTAAAGATTGTATTTTGACGTGACCAAGATGATTTAAGAAAAGAAAAAAAACGACACGCATTATTTTATAAAAAATTTTTCAGAACGTATCTCCGCGGATCTGCCGAAACATCCTGAAATGTACAGGTCTATTAATGAATACAACAATTGAAGATTGCGCCTAGAATTTACGTTTCCTTCAAAAAAAAAAAAAAATGTTCGCATCAAGATATTAAATATGCATCGGGAATTCCGTCATTTCGCAGATATCCCACCGATCAGTCTCAACATAAACAAATTCGTTCAAAAATGTGAAGTGAACTACCATTTAAAGATGAGAGGTGCAAGGTTTATGCAAATAAATAAGTATCTTTCTTGTCTGGGAGAATATTTCCCCACGCGGCGACGAGTTCAATCACAATTGCTGCTATCCAACCAATTAAACTCATTGGACTGTTACATTCCTTGAAATCAAATAGGAAATTGCTAGCCGAAAAAAAAAAAAAAGATTAATCAAGGTAAAATATAATAATTGTGTGAGAATAATGAAGCTAATATCGATTTGATAAGATCTTTTTTCAGATGCGCGCACTTTATAATTGGAAATCAACCTATGGTACGATAATTACTTTCGGTACTCGACCAAAGCCGTTTCTTGATTAAAAGATCATCACATGCGAATATTTTCTTTCCCCTTTTTTAATTTATTTTTAAGAACATTTAGTTTAAAGAAAAGTTTTTAAATGCGCATCCGAGAATCGTGGTTGTCTCACTCAAGATTTATTGTCATTATTATGTAAATTTGATTTTGCATTCAATAGCGTCATAAATTATTTCAAGGTAAATAAACTATAATATAGAAAAAATTTATTATATCACTAACTCTTATTTCAAAATAAAAAGCAATCCAAATATACATGAAACAACTTTTCGAAATCTTTGGTTTCACTAGAAGCAAAAAATATATTTTTTTTTAACCTTTATCTTTCAGGTTTATTGTCAATAATTTGTTACTGTTGATTGACTTTAGAAAGCATGAAGGAACAATTCAAGATTTATTCAAAAAATTAATTAAAAATAACAACTTTCTCTTAAAAAAAGATTTGTCTAATTAGAATATCTTTCTTACTTCAAATTGAATCTCAAATGATGTTTTTTTATCATCACCTATAACTAAAGATAGGTTTCTAAAATATTTAGTATACTTTAAGAGGAACAAAATTTAGAAAATGTTATAAATCAATAATTTAAATGATAAATAATTATTGTATATAGTTTTTATTGTTATTAATTTAAAATTTTTAATTTTTTCTAATGATAAACATTTGATTTTTCTATTTTCTCTTTTAAGAACTTACTGTATCTTTATAATATCAAGATAATCAATTTAATAAATATATTATTTAAACAAGTACTATATTGAGATAGTTTAAAATAAGTAAAAAGATCTCAATTTTGTTTAATAAAATCTTTTTATTATTTAAAAAACTTATAGAAATAAAAGTTTACAATTTATATTATCTTTTTTTTTTTAACATTGGCTCAATCTTGTTTTTTTTTTTTTTAATTTTCTATCAAATTAGTTATATATACTTTATTAAATATTTGTAAGCTATATATATATAATGAGGTAATAAAGCTAATTCTCTAATCAATTCACTTGTTTTGATTATACTATTTCTCTAAATATAACTTTGGGAGTGATTTATTGTTTCATTAGTAATTCAAGTAAAAATCTTTTTAACTTCTAACCTCATTGCCTATAGGTCACTATTGCAAATCACTCATTCAAGTTCTAATAAAGATTAAAATCCAACCACTTTTTATCATACTTTATACTATTTAGTAAAATTTCTTTTAACTTCTTATTTTCGATTCTTTTCTTTTCATATATTGTCTCTTTAATAGATAAATTTCTGTGCTCCTAATCTTACTTTCTTAATCCCATAAATATATTAATCTTTTTATATTATTACATCTGTGAATTCCTGACATCTATTCCTATTTAATTATCTTTTACATCTAATATTTCATATTTTTTTTCAGAAATTAATATGTATTTTCTTCTGTATTTTCATTATTCAACTTTTTGCTTCTTTTCTAATTATCTTATCACAATATTTCAGATCTATTATTTTTATAATTAAACCTTCCTCTATTAGTCTTATATAGAAACTGAGTATATTCTGACTAGTTTTTGAGATCTTTTTTACTAGTTTCATTATCTGTTTATCCATTTCTTATATTTCCATTTTATTGTCTATTATTAAGTTTGGCTTTTTTTCTTCAGACTTCTTTTTTTTATCCTTTAAAAGCTTTTTGAATTCTTTTAAGACTCCTTCTATTTTTTTTTGCCACACCTTATTCTACCAAGTCATGTAAATTGTATATTTTAACAAGTATTCTATTGTTTTCTTTTCCTGGTCATATATAATACATTTCACTTGCTTATAAAAATCTGGTCTAGTTAATATTGGTAACTTATCATTAGTCGACTTGACAAGAAAGATTTTATTTTGTAAGCTCTTAAAGAAGGTATTCCATATATGCTCATTTTTTAATTGTTTCTATATTAGATTTTATATGTATTTGTGTTGATTTTGGATTTACTGATTTCATCTCTTCTTGATTTTACCTTGAGTTATTCATTGGTAGACTATTACTTTGTTATTTATTTTTTTAATAACTTGTTTTATAGAAGAATTTAGTACTATATCTTATTATTTAATTTCTGTAATAATTTTGGATGAAATAAGATTTTTCATTTTATTACTAAAAACTTTAGTACTTCTTTGACAAGAGTATCTGCTTCTTTATTATATTAAATGTTGGATGTATCTTAATCTTGATAAGCTTAAGGTTTGACTTTTTTTCTTTACAAATCCAACATTTATACTTACAGAAACCAGTTTTATTCTTTTAACTATTTTTTGTAGGTCATTCTGGAGTTCTTATTTTCTATAGTTTTACACTTTGAAATGTAAACTTGACTATCTATATGGATCTTGACTTTGGCTATTTATTAAAACTATTAATAATATAGTTACTATTGCTACTAATTATGTCCTGGTGAATGAAAGTCAATCAATTACTCTGGTTTGGAACTTACTTTTTCTTCCTGTCTTTTTTATCTATATTTATACCACTTTCATCTTCATATTTTATTTTTGTGATTTATAAGGGATTCATCAAAGTAAAAGGTTATTGATTTTTTTCTCTTTTTTTTTATTATGCTTGAGTATTTTAATCAAATGAAATTAATAAGTACCTTCTTCTATATGGTTTTAGATAATGTTTTTTTCTCAATTTTCTACTTCAATCTATAATACTTTTTCATTTGAGATGATTATTTGATTATTATATATTGTTTTATATATCATTTCTTTCAATGCTTCTTTGAAACTTAAAATTTTCAATAATAGAATTTTTTTGATAGACATTCTTGTATTGAGATAGAGAACTATATATATTTTTTCTATACTTGTTTCAATTATGCATTGGTCTTCTATTATTGTATCTTCTATATTTTTCTGATATTAAATTAGTTTTGATTCTTGATTCTTGAAGAAGCTGATAGATTCAAAGTACTCTATTTTAATGTATCTTATAGTATTATTTAAAATTAATTTTCCCTGTACTACTTGTTGTTATTAAAACTTGCTTCTTCTAACTACACAAAGTTTTTGTCATTTGTTAAAATTGAAGTTGAGAGTGGAATGTTCTGAACTCTATTTTATTCATTTTTCTTTCTAATATTCTATAAGTATTTTAATTTATTTCCCTATATTATTTCAGTTATAGATAGATACCATTCTAAAATGAATCCTTTACTCGTTTTCTATAAAAGTTGAAGCATTTACCAACTTCTTATTTTTTTGTTTCATAGTTAACTAGTTGGTCTATATATATTAACTTGTTATTTCTAGATAATAAAATAGCTTTCTAATACTATTCTATTCACAAGTATTCTTTGATTGAACTGTTATACTGGTTTTATTCAAAAATATTATTCCATTTCTTGCTTTAAATGGTAATACCTATGTCCTTGGTTAGCTTCTATACTTGCAACATAAAGTTATCTCTTTCTGGAAGATAATTTAATAAACTACAAG